GACGGCAGAAGAAAGAAGAAACTCTCTTCTTCTATTTCTTCTTTTACCGAAGAAACTCTTTCTTCAAAGTTTCCAACTTTATTTTCAACTGCGTCATTCTGCCTTCCATAGCCTCAATCGAATTTTTTCTATTACGCAGGTAATTTCTCTTTTCATTTCTTCTTGATTGCTTCAATTCTTTTAACGATTAATTTCATTTCCTTATTCCTTTTCATTTCTTCTTTAACGAGGGCAAAGGCTGATATCAGCTGTCCTTAATTGCTCTTCCATCGCTCTTGTGATTGGCATTCAAATCCCACTTCTGACACCAAAAATTGTTGCGTGCGTACGGGTTCGTTATGAAATGAATGCACAAGTCCGATGAAAAATGAACAAAAATTTATTATTATCACAACAAAAAAAATGCTTAAATTTTCTCAAATTATCATGCAGTATTACAATATCTCACAGTAGTTTTCTTTTAACTACTCAAATGTCCAATAGAACGTAATTCAAAACAGCTAAAGAACGCTAATCCGCGAATTCGCTACAATCAACAACAGTAGTTTTCTAAACAACAACAAACTAAGCAACTACTACAAACTGAGATGTTTTCCTCCTTTTATAAGATTTTAAAATCACGCGCTAGAATTTTCCAGTACTTTCTCGAAATCAAAAAGAGATATTTATTTATTTAATGCACGCGCTCTTGTATTTTCAATTTTCCGGCTTAGCTTTCTTTTAATATTCGTCACGCGCTGCACTGCGCGAGAAATAAAACCATTTAATTTGTAATTGAACTAACATTAGCTTTTTAAATACCAAATTCGTAACAATATAATGAGGTATGTGAAATATAAAATGGTTTGTTTTATTTGATTAATGGCAAAGCACTCGAGGGCTATCTACCTTAAAGTAGGATTGCCTTCGTGGAACTTTCTAAGGAAACATCCAATGAAGAGGTTTAATAGCCTTTTAACATTTTGATGCCGTTCAGTAGTTCTACAGCGACGTAAATGTTTTTCTTCCAGCCATTACAGAATAATTTCGTATCGCTTTGTGATACAGCAATCGAGATGATACTGAGGGTAACTAATGAATTTAAAAGCATCATTTATAGGTTTATTAAGAATTTATCTGGAGCATTCCATGTATAAAAAGGTATTTCGGGAATATATATTGAATGAAACTGTCTACCGGCATAATTAAAATTTTTGAAACCTCTTGTCTAAATTTTATTCGCAAATAACTGTTAAAGTTACAATAAAAAATTAAAACATATATTTGTCACCAGAGTAAACAAATCTATACACGATAATAATTTAAATAACTTTATTTTTCAGTAATGAAAAACACCTGAAAAACTTCCTACGTAAGTAGACCATCGTGGCCCCCAAAGTTTTTTCTGTCTTTTTTTGTTTTGTTTATATTGTTAGTTGAATTTGCAGAATATAATAGGTTAATTATTAACGAATTCAAATGTGCTTATTGCTGTCTGTCTGGCATCTATTAGTCCTTTGCAATAGAGCCTTCTTGGACACTATATATATGCTTCATCATAAGCCCTGTCCATCCATCCGTCTTTTTATCTGTCTGTTGCCCTCAGAAGCAGCAAACTTGGATACTTTAGTAATGCGTATGCGCTTGACTGAACGGGTAACAAGTTCTAATTTATTTCAAGCAGCTCAAATTTGTATAAATATATTACAACAGAACGGAAGTCGCACTTGTGATTTTTATCATCGTGTTGTATCTCATTTAGGAAAATTTAAGTGGCTTGAAATAAGTGAACTTATTTGAGATTCAGTCTATAGGTAGTACTTAAGTACCCAAGATGGTTACTCCAGAGTTTAGGCAGATAGACTGACACTGTAGGCAAAAGAACAGATTAACAGGATGGATGGTGAGCAGGCAGCTTTTGAGCAACAGCAGTGATGACCAGCGTGCAGGAAATCAAATCAGGAGTCGCAAGTAGCTAGCATTACAATTAGTGTAGTTAAGAAGTACGCAGAATGGTTGAAGTTCCCACCTAAATTATGACTTCTTCATATTATTATGTTTCTTCTGTTATGTTGTTTAGGATTCTGTTTGTTTTAAGGAATAAAAAAATTTTACTAAAGCTCCTGTCTTTTTCCATAACGTTTAATAGTCGAAAGTGAAGTTCTTTCAAGTTTCATTTTGAGTTAGAAGGAACTGCAACAATAAATAGTTATTTTCAAGCTTAGTTACGTACAATATATTAAATCTGCATTAAGCTGTTTTGCATTATTGAAAAATAAAGTTATTGAAATTATTATCGTCTATAGATTTGTTTTCTCTGTTGACAAATATGTTTTAATTTTTTTATTATATAACTTTAAAAGTTATTTGCGAAATGTTACCTTTAAGAATCGTATGTTTAATATTCGCTTATTACAATCTGTTCTTTTGCATCACGCGTTCTGACGCATTTTATGCACAATATCACTAATTGCGATCCAAAACTTTTAGTTATATCATTTATCACGTTCACAGAACATTAAAATGTACATCTCGTAAGGGGGAGTGTATCGCATCCCCTTGTAATGCTCCCCTTTTCTCGCAATTCATGCCTGAGGAGTTAAGGGTCCGTTCCTAATTACAAAACTCAGTATCTGTAACAATTGAGATATCTTCCGTTCCAGAAAATCGTGATAACGCACCAATTGTGCTGTTGCGTAAGGAGAGACAAAGTGGGGACTACTTTCCTCCGCCGGAGCGTGCGATTGATTCTCTGGCCTTATATGTGGCGGAGGTGCAGCGTGGCACAAAGTACGGCGATATAATGTGCTTAATGAAGTGTTTGGGGCACCATTTAAGAGAAAGCGGATGGATTAATTGGCAATTTGGGAATCAGACCAGGGCAGAAAAATGATGACACCAGGTTTTGTTGGACGACGATGCGAGAATTTGATTTGATGAGCATGTGTCTAAATTCTCCGTATTTGGTGTCGGAGAGTGTATAATTAAAGGTGAGCAATAATGATGCGCATTGATATAGCCAATCACATTGCAATAACTGCTCAGCATAAGAAGTTTCTGGTAACAATTATTTTGTAATTACCAGAGGCAATGTAAAGCTTCAAAAGGAAATCTGAAATGCGATATTAATTCAATGTTAGTGCATGACAACAAAGATACCTTTTAACTTTTTTACACCTTCTGTTGGTATTATTTTATCCAATAAATCAAGCCTAATTATAACTGTATCACAGTGGAAATAATATTCAGCTAGGTTTGACATTTCAGAATGTAATCATTTCCTGTGATTTTATCTAATCGTATGGAATTGCATCAGCAATCGTTTGATTCTGTGCATTTTATATGATTTAGTAATCCAACTCGCAGAAGCTTTGTAAATGATTGTGCATTTCTTCAGGAGTAACACAAATACATAAGAAACAGATGGGGTGGAAATCAGACCTGGACTATTTGAATTACTATAATGCACGCGATGGCTATTGCTTAAGGGAAAAGATGCCTTCAGAGAGAACGATTTACGGAAAAACTGGCTGGTATTCACGTTACACATGGGAAAATCTACGAAACCTTCTATACAGGCAAGGTGGTTAGTTAGGTTTTGAACTCAGGTCGAACTACCAATGTTCAGTGGCCTTAGCACTCAGCCAATGGTAGGTGTTAGAAAGATTCTGTAGATCTTGGATATCGCAAATATAAACGCAAACATCAATGCTTTGCATGCTCTTTTCGAGCCGATTTATTTGTGATGCAAATGAGTTGGCTGTGATTTTTCAAATACATTCAAAAAGCTGAGCGTTAGGTAATGGTCAAGATTTATTTATTGTGACTCAAAATTTCAGTGCAGCATAACAGACTTTCAAACATTTAGAGATAAATATTCAACTATTATTCCAAAACTAAATATTTTTCATTGTTCTCTGTGTCTAAATGCTATGATAAATCCATTACAAGTCATAATATTAAGCAGCGCTAATTAAATGACATAATTAAACATTTTAATACGAATTAAAATTAAAAAAAGTATTGGCATTGCGGTACAAATGTTATAAAGAGCCAGCTCTAGTAAGCTTTTATTGTAAACACGTAGGATTTAAAACCTGGAAAAGGTGCGGCTTAAGTTTATTAGCTACCTTATTAAAATTGATCGAAGGAACTGAGATTTGTTTTGTTGTGAGGAGACTTACACTTTTCCATCCCCCCTTCCGATGGCGGGGTCTAGACGTTTATAGGCGTTGGCCACTACTAAGGCCGAAAGTGGTGGTCGCTTTATTAAGGAGGCACCTAATAGATGGGCTACCGTTGCCTGCTATGAAAGAAAGGACAAATTACGTCCATGCCTTCTCCGAGATTCGAACTCGAGTCTTTCGGTACGGCAGTCAGAGTCGCTAACCACTTTTCTGTCTGGGCGGCAGATTTTTATTGTAATCGTGATAAATCTAAGAAGAAAGTACTGAACTATGGAATTTAAGATAAAATCTAGTGCTCAATTTAAATTTGAAATGCTGTAAAATAAATTTGCTTTCAGCAAACCACGTATAAGGTATCCAAGAAGATTCGCTGAACTTGGAAGAAGTGTGTAGTTAGGAATATTATTTATGATCTTTGAGCAAGTGAAGTAAGTTTTGCTTCATTGGCATAAAGAGCCCAACGAATATTTAACAAATCTAGTAATAGAGAAATTGCTGGAAGTATTTAAAAAAAGTATAACTTTCTGGCCAAATAGCTTGAAAACAACTATTTCTTAGCGAATCGAATCGAAGCGCAGTGTTGCAGCTCACCAAGACTAGCGTTAAAAAGCTCTATACTTTTGGAAATTCGTCTGTGCTTGTAAATGAAGAGAGATTTTATATTTTCGAGTGATTTAACAACATATTATGGGTCGAAAACTCATTACTGAACTTCAAATTAAAAATATTTCTCCTTCAGTAAAACATGGGGGTGTTAGCCAGATGGTTTGGGCTGCTATACAGGGTGTTCGGGATTAATGTGACATATTTATAATTGATTATATTTTTCCATAGGTTGAAGGTATTGACACACACTATTCGTCATTTAAAAGTTTGGACCCTTCTTCATTCATATACAAGATGTCAGAAAGGATCGATGACTGGAACCCACCTGAATGATGGAAGAGAATAACTTGCATCATGATGATTCGTGCCGGCCATCAAAATAAGGATATTATGACTGCTGCCCAGTGCTCCCTGAACACAGTAAAAACAATCAGGCATGAACTAGAGACTTGCAATGGTGACTACGAGGATGTAGCCACCACCAAAAGTCAAAAATGATTGTCTGAAAATTTCTACGACTTCACCAGTCCAAATGTTTGGCTTCCAAACTCCCCAGACTTTAACCCCATGAATTATTTTGTATGGGGCGCAGTTGAAAACGACACCAATCGCACTTCCAGTAATACAAAAGCCCAGTTAATGGATAAAATTAAAACAGTTTTTGAGGCCTTTCCCCAGGGAGACTGTAGCATCAGCTTGTTCGAGGTTTTGAAGCAGGAATGAAGCTGTGATCGATGCTAATGGTGGTTGTGGTTATTTTGAGTGAATCTTGTTGATAGTATTGTAATTTACTCTGCCTGTAATTCTTTTTTGTCAATTCATTTAATTTAATAGATACAAAGCAGATTTTCGTTTTCCTTACGAAACTGTCAAATTTATCCCGTCTTGCCGTGTTTAAATTTTACATTTTATGGACAGAAAAATTTATAATTTTATACATTTGAATGTTTCAAAACAAAACTTTTAAAATACAGCTCACCATGAATGGAATATTATTACATTAAAGACGAAGCATAAAGCTCATATTTACACACAGTGAACTTTATATTACTATCCCTATGTAATCAAAATATTTGTATTTATTCCAGACTTTAATCCTAGTGAACATATTTGAGATTATTTGCAAGTAAAAATAAAGTCGGAATTTCCAACAAAAATGTACTTGGAAGAAAAACTCGCCATAAAATGGAAATAATAAAATCAAATTTTAATCAAGGCTTACCAATTACATAGCGGAAAATGCTACCGATCACTGGGAGTTCGGTCTGGGGGTCGAGTTCCAGCGAACGGGCTGGCTGCGTCATGGGTGTTCCCGTGGATTTCCCTGTATGTAACATTATACGAGACAGTTTCCTTTATAAAGTCCTCCACGATGTCATTCCTCTCCTTAGACAGATAGTTCTCGACTGCTTTGCCATAATCAAATAAAACAAACAAGTTGCGAAACTTATCTCGGCTACCTTTGAGAGATAACCATTTCTGAAAGTATTTTATCTGACAGCATAATTAAATAATTGTACTGAGCAACATTGATAGTTATGTGCAATCAATAGCAACGTAAGTGGATTAGATAGTAGCATCATGGTGAACAAACATATGCAACGTAATTAAACAGAATTGAACAACATCGGTAATTGGGATATAATTAATAATTAAGTATTAATAATAAATAATAATTGTAATATAAGTAATAATTAGGATAAACATCTTCGCAGAAAAAGAAATATCTGGAACTTTGGTAATCTTCTTCGGAAGGTTTCATTACATCTTGAGTACATCTTTCAGTACATCTTCTTTATGAATGCAAGCAGCATATCATTTCCGTGTGGATATTATTAGTGATTTCTTAATATACGTATTTAAATTAAAGGTATCCAAAAAATTTTATTATTTTGCCTTTTTTGATAAAAATCATTACTTTTCATTTTACGTTTTTTCATCGAAAGTGAGTTTACAGCAGAATTCACCAGCCTTATTCTTAGAATCAAGTCGCCAGTTCGGTTGATGGCTGAGATAACATAGCTCATGAATCGATACTTGCGTATTAACGCAACCAAACTGGCGCTTTTTGGCGATTTTCTGCAGATAAAAAGGTGAAAATATGAAAGTTTCTTTTATGTTGCAAGTTGGTGATTTTTACTTTTTTAGAAATTCCCAAACTATCGATATGCATCGTAAATCGACGAACAGTATCAACATGCATAAAAAAATTAGCAATTTAAAATCCAAATTTTAATTATTAATTAAGGGTTATAGGATAGAAAAAATATAAAAAAATCGCAAAATCATTTTGTAATTTGATACTCTGATCTCCTGTAGTATACTCTGTTTTCGTTTAAAAAAGATCGGAGAACTGTACAAACCTGGCATCGGGTAAACTTCAGCATTATTAACAGGTTATCTTACAAACGCATCTCATTATCTCTCTCTTTAGCAATTTTGCGATAAAAATACTGTATCCTTGCTGAAATTTTACTGCAATTTTTTCCAGTTCTGGCAGATTCACTACCGAATAATTTAAAAATTGAGTCTCATACAAAAAGAGCAAAAATATCACGATTATACATAAAAATTATTGGAACAACAGAATAACAAAAAGAAAGCGTAAGGAAATGGCGTTATTGCTTGGCTGAAAGATTGTTACGAGTATGTTTGCTTGAAGAATATTTAGACGCATAGTTCCCAGAGTTTGGCACTTTCTGGTAATTTGGCGATTTCTGATAAAGTGGTTACGATAATACGTAAGTACCCATGAACCTTCTAAAAATATAATTTAACTGATTTAAAGTTATATATGCTGCTTGACAGGTAGAGTGTTTACGGGAGGCTGCTTTATTACCACAGCTTTCAACCTGGCATCTTGGTGAGACGTATTTGCTTGACACTGTTTTATCTACAGGGAAAAAATCGCTCTCCGAAGTCTTTTAAGTGTTCCGACATACGAGAAGATGTGTACAAGGAAACCATTTTCCAGGTATTTTAGATTGAAGCTAGAAATGTGCTGGACAATATCATACTATCGCCACTGACTCTCTGAATATTAGACCAACACCAAAGTCACCATTACATCATTCATGTGCCTGGAAACCTGCTGATGCGTAGTAGGAATATCAACGGTAATTTTGATAAATATTATACTCTATTAAAACGAAGCTTAAAAGTGACTTGTTTTCGTAAATTATCGTAATATGTGTTTGTTAGATTGATTATCAATAAAGGAATTTTAACTGATTTGTATTTTGCCAGGTAAATTTACTTTCTCTATCTGCTGTCTAAATGTCAAATTGTTAGGAAAAAAAATGCAGAAATATTTCGGATCAATTTTTCGAATTTTATAATTATGTTCTCTCTCTCTTTTTTTAAAACAACGTTTAATATATATAACAGAATAGGTAGAAATACGTTTAAAATATTTTCTAAATTATAATAGCATTTATGCAAACTTTTAACATTCGTTAGTCAACCAATTAAGCCCATTAATTCAGTTAAATACTCGTACAAAAATATTTTAACCAATGTCACATCCATTTTGCCTTTGCCGTGTAAATTTTGTTTCCTGTTTTGGCCTATCCCCATAAAATTTCCAGAACTATGTTTTGAATGCATTATAAAAGACGGGAATATTAGTGATGTAAATCTGACCCTGCATATTGCATTTTTAAGCAGACAAATCGCACCTAAATATTATCAAGTTCTTTATTTTCACAACAAATATAGGCGGTCTAAGAAACAAAGCAGAAATAAGAGCGGCAGAAGGCTACTGTATCGTATTACGCCACATCTCCAAGTCAACAGGTAAATATAATCTCATAATAGGAAGCGACTGGCGCGGCTAAACTTGAAAATGCAAATTTTATCAGATTGGTAGAAAATGTTTACTGAAGAATCTGAATTCCAGACGAATTTCGAAAGATAAATCTTACCTAGTATGGGCAGGTATATCATTTACATAAAATACCGAATTCAGACGCAGTACACGAAAGCAACTCGCTTTCAATTTTAGTCAGGTCATTTTCAATGGCATGTTCATGATAGGTAAATCGGAAAATTTTGAAATCTTAGCTTAATTTATTCATTGTTGCATACTTTTATTAAGTAACAGCTGTTATTTATTTCAACTTTGTACCCGGTTGTCTGTGTAGGAGATGATATGAATAATAAACATTTGATGTGTTTCGCAGGTTCAGCTGTTAATAATAATTTAAGATTATAATTTCGTGAGGTTTTTATAGTTTCTAAGGGAAACGGGTTACCTTTCTTACAAAGTCCTTAATAATACCGTTCCTAAAACTGATGAACTTTTGATTGCTTTACGCTATAGGTAACGTAACCTAGCCTGTCAAACATTTATTCAGTCAAGATTTTAACATAATGTAATAGAAACAGATTTTTTACTACAGCAGCTAATGACAATTCACTATATTTCTGCTGTAGCCAATTCATCACAGGTCACTGAAATTTATATTTAACCTTAAAATTAGGCTCATCAATGGTTGAGTAAATAACTGATGATAGATGGTAATTCTATTCTGTTCTAGTTCAAATACCGGAAGATCAGCACTGGCTGCATGATATTTTCGTGTTTTATACAATCTGTAGCTTCAGTACGAGCTAACTTCCCTTAAGTCTTTGAGGGGCAAGAAATGGCAATTATTGTTTTAGCAAAACTATTGTTTTATATACTATATCGGGTGTTACAATGAAATTATTTGCGACAATTACACATATTTTGTCCAAGACGCATGAAAAAAATGACCACTTCTGGTAGTTAGTGTCAGTGACCATCGCCTACAAATCAGTTTCTATGGTACTCACGGAAACATTTTTTCTTTTTCAAGCAGAGTTCTTCTTTGCATGTGCTGCATTCCCACACTGTTCTTACAGGCCTTTTTCTTGGTGCTGTAGAGTGTACATCGTCGTGATGTTGTCTTCAATGGGGGATGCTTATTTTCTTGAAGACGAATTGCTGCATCAACAATGCATGCAATCTTATGTTTCTTGATTGCCATCTAGTGAGTTACAAGGAAACTTAAACAACGGTCAGTCTTGAAAACCACTCGCACGTCTGAATAAGGCGTTCAGTAGAAAAGGTGGTTACTGTAGGTAACGACCGCCCTTCAAACAGTTAAGGAGTCATCCACGAAGCAATTTCTCTTCTTAGGCATATAGGTTTAGTATGTTTTGCCCTAATTAAAAATGAACTATATGTTGAAATTATGTTAACAATCTCGTTGCTCAACTAGACTTACTTATCAATTGTGTAAAAACAGGAATCCGTAAATTCTAATTCAGAAAGAAATAAGTTGGCTCAAATGATAGTAACAAGAAATGCGTTTTTGAAAATTTATTTTACCTATATTTTTTGTATTTGTAGTACATCAGCGTGTCGGATGACCGTGTAAACGCGCCGGACATTCATTCACATTAGTTGGCTATGAATAAATAGCCTTTAGTGATTGAGCGTCGTAAAATCCAACCAATCTGGCCTCGGGTCATAATTACATTGGTACGCACAGATGCATTAAACCAGTTCGTAATGTGTTGCATGCAGATAACGCTAAGCCAGGCTTTGTAAATTTAAAGATTAGCTTATTATCCTTCTCTTCCATTCACTTTCATAATGATTGAGTGATATTCAGCGAGGTAAGGGCCTTTACCCTAAAAAACCAAACTCCACCCTCAGTATATTTGCTTTAAACTGTTCCATCTATGAACAGTTTTTCTCCCTCTCCCTACCCCTGAGGCTAATGAGAAGCCTACACCCCTTGTCCCATGGGGGTAGGGCTGAAAACCTTGTTCTTGTCTTGCCCTGCAAGCATAGATCAATCTTCATCTATTTCGAATACTTAATAGCCGAAGTATATTTAATGATATCAGGTTTTTCGAAGTTGAAGTTTTCGTGCTG